TCACCATAACCCCTTCTATGGGAGGGCTGATACTTGGACGCAGTGCCCTAACTGCCGCTAGGTTCTGCCTGATGGAAATGAGTGACATGGCAGAGGGTATGTAAGTACACCACTGCGGCCCGCTGACATGAGCTCGGGAGAGAATTACTCCCCAAGCATGGTGGTATGGGTAAATGGAACCACCCAGAGATCTGGGGGATCAGCGTATGCATTACCCGATCACATGATCAACGGTCGAGGGCTGGAAGCCGATAGCAACTATGAATATGAATTACGCCTGGTGGCGGGAGACGAACCTGAGGAAATCTGTTTTGTGGCGGATGGCCGGGATAATCGGAATGGGCGGGGCGGACGCCGAGGGCCCGTTGCTTGGATAATCCCCAACTCACTGTACGGCGTGTCCGAAACACTGTACCCCAATTTCGGTTCAGATGCAAGGGAACAGGGTACCCTATATACATAGCCGTAGCTGGGGAGATACCGGCCGGACAGTCCGCTACCCTCCCTACAGTTCTTCCCACCTAAGGGAACTCTTATACGGGTGCACGGTCACGCTGATGCCATAATTGAGCGGAGGCTAATACTTGAACCCATCGCTTTTGACTTGCTATACGAAATGGAATGATCCGTCATTTTGCACAACCAGGGCTCAACCAAGTTTGTGTTCACGCCAGGCGCCCTTTTGGACGTGGTTACTGTGGAACGACCCCTCCGCCCATGGGCAGAAGTGGTGGATGCGCTGCCAACTTCGGCCAAGGAGGAAGCTGCTGCCTCAGCCCCGGAAACCGTGCAGAACACTCTACAACTGTATAGTGCGGGCCCTGCAGGCCCTGGCCGATACGGTGGCTGACCTCAGTGAGATTGTGCGGGTCAGGCAGCGTGGGGATAAGGAACATTTTAAAACAAGACCCAGCAGGAATCTGGTGCGCTGAGGTCCCCGGGAAAAGCCGGAAGGACGATAAAGAACTTTTCTATGATTGGGAACATAGGCCGCCCTGGGAGAGGGGACCGAACGGGGGGAACGATGTCTCTTTTTACAGCTTTCCACGATGCCGAACAATGGAGCCAACTGATCCACATAATCCACAGCCGTTTCAGAAGATTGTATGGTCTCAGCGAGAGCACCAATTCCGGGAAATGTATTGGGAACGAGTGTTCGTAGTAGATATTGAAGAACCACCCTACAGAAAAGAGTACCCGATCCCTCCGGTAGGAGCTGAGGGAACGGATGATAATCTCTCAACTTCTGAGCCTTTGAGGGACTTTATTGTAGTAGAAAGGCTCCAAATAGTGCTGCAGCTGCAAAGCAAATACAGGGGGAAGTGCCCTGGAAACTTTCGCAATGATTGGGCCGCCATAATAGCTGGTCTTCAGGATGGTAACGAGGCTCTAGCGGCCTCCCAACGGGTGTGGCAACCAGGCAATTGTCTGGCCGATCAAGTGCTGATGGCAAAGGCTGCACAGTACGAGTCTAGTCCAGAGCCAGCAAAGTTGCCTATTCAAGCACGAATGAACACCCTGATATTAGGATAAACCTTATCTATTACGCAGAAAGCATCTATAAGAGACTTGCTCCTTAATAAATACCACGCCTTCGCATGGAACTTACAGCAGCTGAGTGCTACCTGGGCGGGGTCGACCGAATTCCCACAGGGGATGCACGGCCAATTAAGCAACTACCATATCGGTTCTCTCCCCAAGAAAATGAAGTAATCAGAGAGGAGATCAACAAAATGCTGACAGCCAGAATCATTAGAAAATCAAAATCAGCCTGGGCCTCACCCGTTGTGGTCGTACCAAAGCCGGATGGCACGCCTCGGTTTTGTATGGATTATAGGCGGATAAATGCCATTACTGAGAAAGATGTATATCCTTTACTCAGATAGATGAGGCGCTGGACACACTCGGAGGAACCTTATTCTTTTCAGCCTTAGATTTGAAGGCGGGATATTGGCAAATACCCCTTTCAGACCAAGATGCCGAGAAAACGGCGTTCGTTACTAAGTTCGGGTTGCACGAATTTACGTGACTTCCCTTCGGGCTGTGTGGAGCACCAGCCATCTTCCAGCGCCTAATGGACGAGACATTGGATGATTTACTTTGGAAAACGGTCATGGTGCATCTGGATGACATAATCATCTTTACTACCACTTTCGAAGAACACTTGGCGGTCTTGGCTGATAACTCGCTTACATGCAAATTGATAGATAGCTTTTAGTAAAAATGTTTAAAAATAGAAAATTGGCATTCTTGCCAATTTTCTATTATCAAGTGAAGTTGTTGTGCCGATTTTCCATTTAGAGCAATATATGTGACACCATCCAAAATCGCAAAATGGATTTCTGGCGGCCAAATTTCCAAATTGCATCTTTTACTAACCTTGTTGTGCCGGTTTCCCATTTGATGAAAAAGTGGAAAAGTTTGCCGGATTTCCAAAATGCTTCAGTTTCCACTGTAACTATTGCACTAACCACATGCTCTCTCAATCCACAATGGTTTCTCCCATTGCTCTGGTCGCAAAGGAGCTGCAACCAGGATGTTGCAACCAGTTTCAATTCACTGCAATGTATGATGCATTGTCAATTTGTCACCTTGATGTGCCTTGCTGCATTGCTGCCAATGCACATTGTGGTAATCTTGTATTCAGGCAAATCAACGAGGGGGGAATTGTCAATCGTGCTCTGGGTTTCGCTTTGTGTTGGTTTGTGCTGCTTTCCACTTGATAAGATGGATGTTGAGCACTGCCATTGAATTGCGTCCAGCACGGTTTCTATTCCATGCAATTGATAGTTGTGGGGCGTTGAAACCTGGTCATTTGTGCCCGCTCACAAACTTCGATGCACATTCATGCAAACATTCCCACAGGCCGTCCCCGACCCCCCCATCCCCACCCACATTGTCAAGGCCACCGATTCCACACTCGTGAAGATTGTGGGTGTGAGATTGTCAGCAAAAAGGTTGTTGCCATCAACCATGGCAAGTTTGGCCACATCAATTTGGACGAAGTGTCCGGCACAGGACTGAAAAAGAAAGTGGAATTTGGACAACGTCCAGTTGAGGCTGAGCGGAAACAAAAACAGTACTTGGACACTCCTACACAACTGCTTTACCACAGCGGTGCACCCCTTTGCTTCAAATTTTCCAGCCACCTCCTTGTCGCCACTGGCCCACAAATATAGTAGAGTCAGCGCTGCTGCGAGACTGTCACTATCAGCTGCCACAAGAAACGAAAGGTTCTAGAAAAACACGCGAGGATCGCAGACAGCACAGAGCCGCCGCCACCTCCGCTACACCGGGTGCCGCCACAGCGAGTGCTGCCACCAACCACACTGCTCCAGGCACTGCGACGGCTGGAGCCGCCGCTACCACCTTGCCGCTACTACCCCTGTTGTAGCCATTCCGGAAGAATGAGGTGAGAGGACTTGATGGAATCCGGCAATGGATTGGGGGCCCACTGCGCGACCCTAGCGCGAGCGGGAGGCTTCGCCGCGAGTTGGTCCGGTGTGCGCGGAATGGGATTTGTGTGTGCCGTGCATGAGCGTACATGAGGAAGCGCAGGCATGCCTGCGAACGTTGCCGAGTAGGCGGAGGTCCTGGATGCATTGGCCGCAAAGGTGACCCCAACCAGGTGCAAGCTGCACTTGGGGCAGGCAGTCGCAAAACTGCGGCGGGGCTCGGGCATGCGCAGGATGCTTTGCTGCGTGGTGGGCTAGTGTGCAGGGAACGGGGTGTGTGTATGCCGTGCATGAGGGTGCAAGAGAAAGCATGCATGCATGCGAACGTTGGTTGCCGAGGACACGGAAGTCCTAGATCTCAATGGCCGCAATGGCCAACAAAGTCGAACAGGTGCATGCCCCACAAGGGGCAGGTGGCGTTCGGCCCGCACCGCAACCCGGGCATGCGGTGGAGGTTACACTGCATGGTAGGCTGTGCACAAGACAGGTTTTGGTGTTGCCATGCATGAGCGTGCATGAGAAAGCAAGGGCATGCATGTGAACGTTGCCTACCGAGGAGGCGGAGGTCACAGTCCAGTCCCGGTTCTTGGCCACAGCGAAGGTCACATCAAGCAGGCGCAAGCCCCACAAAGGGTAGGCAGTGGTTGGACCGCAACGCAACTCGAGCCATTGCGCAAGGTTTCTCCATTGTGCGGAAGGCACCGGACGAAAGGGGGGGGGGAGGTGCCTGAGCGTGAACATGCATTTTTGGTTTGGGCATTGCCAATTACTATGTCGTGGTTGAGAATCGGCTGGCTGCACGCAGGCGCCATGTTTGCACTAGGAACACGGCGGCGCCATGTATCGTATTGTAACTGCGAGTTGGTTGGATGCACAGTGCTGCCGTGTTTCTGTTGCAAGCACGACAGGCGCCGAGCTACCACTGGTGAAACGGCGCCCGCCGTGTATCCATTGGATACACGGCGGACGCCGAGTTCCATGATACACGGTGGGCGCCGAGTTGCCATTTCGAGAAATGAGTGCCCGCCGCATCCATTGGATACACGGCGGGCGCCGAGTTGCCACTGGCGAAACGGCGCCCGCCGTGTATCCAATGGATACACGGCGGGCGCCGAGTTGCCAGTGGCAGAACGGCGATGCCTGGAGTTTTGTTTACAGATGAATCGTCCCGAACCACTGTTGAGCATGGAAATATTGTGACAATTTTGTGAATGCGTATATGCTTGTTCCGTGAACGCTACAAAGCTGCCATTATTTGCTTGTGACTTGCTGTGGGACTGACCCATGCACGTGCTTGTCCATAGTGCTTCACAACCACATGGTGAGGAACCTGGCGACCATCCCCCAAGTGGTGTGCAAGTTGACGAAGCTGAACCCGCCAGGTACCCTGCAAAGAGACAGAAGACTGATCACCCGGTCGTGACGTCCAGCGCGGGGTCCAGCATGGCGTCATTGGCAACAGGCCCCAGGCCTATCAGCTTGCCGGAACCACCCCCTGACATGACCATTGGGGGGGTGCGAATGTTGACGGACAGCCAACCGCAGATGGAAGATGTTGTGGAAGCCGGTGGTCTACTTGGTGGGCCAGCGGACGAGCCAGAAACCCCGCAGGTCAGTGACAAGATTAAGCTTACGGCAGTTAAAGAGCAACTGGAACTGAAGGGTGAGGGAAGGAAGGGCACAAAGAGACTCAAGGCAGAGAAGAAGAAGACCCGGGGGAAAGAGAAGATAGTTGAAAAGCTACCTTCTATTCCACCTCCTATGGTGGAACAGGAATTCGAGGGTTCTGGGCAGGGAGTGCTGGCGGGAAAGTCCCTTGTCGATTTCGTGAATGCTGAAATAGGCTTGCAATATGGAAGCGGCACTCTTGAGGACCAAGAGCGGTACTGCCAAATACTGAGGTCTGCCGTTGCTAGGATCGACAATGTGCCAGTCGGTTCCATCAACCACCGGCCCCCAACTGCGCTGACAACAAGGCCATTTCTGTTGGATCGGCGGGCACAACTCATTGAGAACTTCAACTTCGATCATCTGGGAACGGCCGTGATTGTTGTTGAAGACCGTGTGGAAGCGGAGAACGAGCGCCTCGCCCCAGTGGCTGCCAGGGAGTGGGGAGCAAATGCAAAGGTGGCGTGGGCCAAGTACGACCTCCGACCTCTGTTGGAGGGTCTCATCCCAGTGCAGCAGGGGGAAGCAAACGTGTTTGCTTTCACACTGATAGGCAACCACAGCACTGCTGCACTCGCACACTTTTTGCACAGTAAAAAGGTGCAAGAGGTCAGAGCAGTGCGCCCGTCCTACAATTTTTTCCGAAGTCAGTTTCCCGATGAGCTGTTCCAGTTTCTATCGAGGTACGAGAATGAGGCTTGTGCAGCGGAGGCTCAATTGACAGCAGGCTACAACCTCTTCAGTGACCCTCGATACCTCTGCCCTTTCATTCGCAAGCATTGGAAGGACCTAGGCTCACCGGGGCGCTCGTCGGAGGAGTTTGCTAAGAGGATGAATGCAGTGCTGGAAACCCGTGCCGAAACAGAACAGCAGAAGGCAGCTGTCAAGGCCTTCCAAATTGCAAAGCACGAAGAGTACAAGAAGTACACTGCTCTGCTCGAGAACTTGGAGGCAGAGATGCCTTTCATGAATCCTGCCCTCTTCAACCAGAGGAAACAAAATGTGAGTGCGTTTAATTTTCCTTGCAAGTTTGTGGGTTAGCTTGAGTTGTGTTCATAGCTCCAGCTTGTATTAAATTTGTGCTACAATGTTTCCATGGTGGTTGCAGCCACTAGACACATGTCCAAAATTTTGTGTTCTTTTTTGTGAATTGTACTGACAAGATCGTTCCTTTGTCACATCAACAGTTGGAGGAGAACTACCGGAAGGCAAGAGTCAAGGTGGAGGCTGACCACAAGAAGACATTGGTTAGGGGTCCAATGCATCACTACAGCAGTGAGGTGGGTTTAGCGCTCCTTGACGAGCCAGTTTACAACTTCTGGTTGGCAATTTTTGAGAAGATGGAGAGTAGGGGACTTGGTGGGTTCACCACAAAGAAGGGGAAGCCGGGCGAAGTGACTGTGAAGAGACACAGCTACAGGCATTTGTTTCACCTTTACCCTGACACTGTGATTTCAGCTTGTCTCAGTGGTCTCATATCTGACTCAGAGAATATTCGGAACGGTGTTTTCACTGAGATGCGGAAAGTGACAGGGAAGCCCTCGGGTGCTAAGAAAGAATTCAGCACTTCGAGGACTTGGTTTGTGAACCTCAATGACTATGCAGTTTGTCTTGGTAAACACGATGCCTACAACTTCTACATCATCTTGACCGACTTTGAGTTGTGTGCCGCCTGTGCTCCTGAGGCTTTGGTGGCAGAGTGGCAGTCAAAACGAAGCCAAATTGCTGCCTTTTCCTTTGACATGATTGTGAGCCCTGTGGAGGTCTTTGCTGACAAATTGAGGGCACAGTTCATCGATGCCTTGGTGAGGTCAAAGGGAACAGTCATGCCTCATGAAAAGGCAGGCAGGCTGAGTTGGTGGTGGGAGAAAATTGCCAGCCACACATACGAGAGTCGCTACAATGTTCTTGTCAAAGACCGGAAGGAGGGTCAGCACTGGATTCCCCAGTTTGCCCGTAAAGAGGATGCCATGGACGAGGGTCACGGCTTGTACTACAAGCTGCAAGTCTTGAATCAGGAACATAGCCGTCTGTGCCAGGTTGCCAAAGGTGCTGAATTAGTTCAGCAGTCACCCTACACCCGTCATTCTGGGGGCAATTTCACAGAGATTTCTGGTTCAGTTTGCTTGCGGAAGGTGGGCATGCACAACACGATGAGTGCAGGCCTTGGAGATGGTTTTGCTACTCTGCCATTGGACGAGTCTATTCTGTACCGGCCATACATGATTGTGGCAAGGGCGTGGGCTGAGCGGCGTGCTTTCTTTCTTCCTCTCTATGAGCAAGTTGTTGAGGAACTTGAACAGCACGTCATCCCCAAGGTCACAAATTGGTTGTTGTCCTTCCAAAAAGAAGAAGGCACCACCCCCGATATGGCGTTCATGGATGTGAAGGAGTCGGTTCCCGGGATAAGCAGAGCGGACCTTGATAAGCCCATTGAAAATCTCCGAAGTCGGGGTTACGTTGGTTTTGAAGAATCAGTAGACCCTTTTTGTGGAAATCCGCCAATTAAACTCATGCCTGATGGTGTTGTTGCTCGGTGGATTGCTGCAAGGCTGGGTTTGGATTTTGGTTTTGGCACAGGAGTGGACCTCGCCTTGAAATGCCCTTTAGTGCATGCGGCCGTGGGCTTAGGCAATGTTTTGAATGCGGCTGTGTACGAGGCCATTCCAACGTATGGCCCCATCACCCTTGTGGTTGTCGACCCTCCTTTTGGGCTAGACAAAGGGGATTGGGACAATCCCGCAGATGCGTGGGGCAAGCAGCAATTCAGCACTTTCCTTGCATGCTTGTTGGGAGCCAATGTATCAGAGAGTGGCTTTTGCGTGGCTGTGTACACCACAAAGGACAAAGTGCCAGAGGTGGAAACTGCTTTCCAGGAGGTTGGCCAATCAAAGTACAAAGGAGCTTTGGTGTACATTTTTGTGAGTGACAGGACACCGGCCCTTTACCCAGGACAGATGGGGCTAGGCGGCCGCCAATTTGTGGTTGTGGGGAAGTTCGGGAAGGCACAACCAAAGGCGGAGAAAAATAACATGATGGGCAAATTTGTGTACTTCACGACACCCCCAAGGATGGCCAGCAAGTACTTGCGGCCGGAAATAGATGGGGTTCTAAAGTCCAAGAAAAACACCCCTTTGAACAAAACGCAAAAAGGAGTGGAGGAGGTAAGGGTGCTGATTCGTACTCTGGCCCCCCAAGATGGCATAGTGCTCTCTCTCTGTAACGGCACTGCAACCACGCAGGTGGCGGCAGCCTTAGAGGGCCGCTCATCTGTGGGGATCGACCTGGACGGGGACCAGGTCGCGGCCAGCATGAGGTGGTTAAGGACTTTCTTTGAACGGGAGGACCTTCTTCAGAAGGTTCTTCGTAAGGAAAGGGACCCGGAGTGCGAGGAGGCAAAGGCGCTTATGGAATTAGCTGAAGGGACGGCGCCATTGGTGAGTCCCCTCTATAAAAACTTCAGACACCAACCTAATAATTGTGAGCTCACACATGCAATTAGATTGTGGTTTTGGATTGTGTTTGCTTACATTGTGCATCTAACGCATTTTCAATGTATTTGAATCAACTTTCAGTTCAACAGCTGATCTTTGTTATCTACTTACAGAGGGTCAAAGAAAAGACATTCCGCACATTGACCGAGGAACTCAGCGACAGGTTGGACAAGGTAGCCAATTTGAGGTCGCTGGATGGCAAGGAAGCTTGGGCTTTGCTTGTTCACCACTGCCTGAGGTGTCTTCCAGACGTGGAGTTCGAATGCCTGGATTTGAGCGACTTCACAAAAGTGTTCGAAGCTCTTGGCAAACACACTGCTGCAGCAATGCTCGTGAAAATGATGAATGAAGATTACCCCATTGGTGAGGACCTCATCTCGGAGCTACATGGCAAGAAAGATTGCACGGTGGAGCTACAAGGACTCCTTGACAAACTGGTAAGAGCAGCAGCACTCCATTCTGAATCATGCCTCAATCTTGAATTATAATCTAGTGGCTAATAAACGGTATGCCATTTTTGTTTGATGCAGAATGCCCGAAGCATTCCTGGCCCATCCAAGGATCAAATGTTAGAAGAGGGGCGTCAGTTTGGCACCGAAGATCCATCCGGAGATACAATACTTTCAGACAAAATGTCCACCCACTTAGGACATCCTACCGCATCAGAGGCTAGTGGTAAAGGCACTCACACCCTTAGCGATGATGGCGAAGGGGATGAACCAAGCGGTTCAAAAGAGGAAACGTTGAGTGAGGGCAATGGGTCTAGTAGTGGTACTGAAAGCAATGCAGCAAGGGAAGAGGGGGAAAAAAGATCTGAACAATGACGCGAATGATGTTGTAAATGCAATGGCTCTTTTGCCTCCAACATCTCAGCAGTTGCAGTCCTGCCCAGCATCCCTCTCCTGGCGCACGACGGCAAACGTGATTGCGCCAACGTAATTACACCGCTCCTAACCGTGTACTAGTTCCTTGTACTGCCGTTGGCACTTTTCTGCGGCTTTCCGGGAAGTAGCAACCGGACCCAGCAGCTTGCACCAGAGTCTCCGGTGATCCATGAGTTGGCCCAGGCTTCATCAAGCACCACAAATTCCCACGGCGCATCCTTTCGCCCAGCCCCTCTGACCCACAAGGGCGGCCAACACCTACCACGAACTCTTCCCACTATCTCTCATGCAAAACCGGTTCCCGGGAAGCCAGTTCCTCTTCCCCCCCATCTCTCGTGGCCTCCGGCCACCGTGTGAGACCCGTCCACACGACCCAGATGTGTCTGTCGTCGACTTAGTTTTCCCCCTTCCTCTTAATTACCTTTTGCTCAAACAACATTGTGGCCGGCCCCCCTTGCTGCGTTCTTGGGCCCCGGGGACCAAAATGCCAGAATGGCATTCCTGGCATGGCTTACGGGCCCGCATAGTCATTGGCGGCATACGTTAAATCCGGCCCGACCTTTGGCATTAACACTGGCAGCGCCCACATTAAGGCGCGGCGCAATAGGCACATGTACGGCCGCGAGCCAGCCCCTCGCGCAAACGATAAAGTCCTGCCCAAACATCGAGCGACCAACGGGGGAGTTACCGATGGGCGAGTACCGTCGACTCACATACCGTCTCTCGCAAGTGGTCTTTGGAGCCCTTCGTTGACATGCTGCATGGTGCAAGATTAGCACAAGCAGGCCGCCGGCAAGACGCCGGCTGGAGAACTGGCAAAGTGCCATACGCTGAGGGTGGGCATCATAACAGTTTGCAAACGCCTCAGTGTAGTGGGCACACAGTGTATGGAAAAATTTGATTGTAAGAAAATTATTTTTCTTGCACTACTTTGCAAGTGGCGAAACGGCGCTTGCCGTGTATCTATTGGATACACGGCGGGCGCCAAGTTGCCACTGACAAAACGGCGCCCGCCGTGTATCCAATGGATACACGGCGGGCGCTGAGTTGCCACTGGCAAAACGGCGCC